TAAATCAGAGCTAGATAAGATTTTAACAACTCTGAGCTATTAGTTAAGTTCTCCCCAAGCGAGCTCGATGGGCCGAATGGCCTCCTCTCATTTGTATAGTTCTTATGTTCTTATGTAACATATTACTGTGCTAACTACAAACAGAGACCGTGTGTATTGCCATATTTGAAAACATTTTAACTGATTTTTGTATGTTATGAATTGTCACGTGGACAGCATAAATGTGCAATAAACTTCAGATTTTGGTCTTAGTAATATTTTATGTGCATATTTTAATATTACTTTAATATGTTATAGGTTTTAGCTGACCTGACTTTTAACCTGACCACAGGCAATTTTCTTTTTATTGAATAAATGTAATAAAACGATTTTATTTCCATTAAACCAAGTAAAGTCTCCTTTGGGCACCTTTCATGAGGAGGGCTCAGCTATCTTCACCACTGACAGCTTTCTGAACATTCTCATCATGGGCCATCTGCATGTTCACTTTTTAAACTTGTCAATAAATGTTCACCTTGGCAGTATATACAGTATGCAGTTAATATACAGAACAGGGGTGGATTGCACTTAAATCTTTTTGTATTATTTTGCAAGTTTGTGCAATAACTGTTCATTCAGAGCCCTGGTTGGGATACGTTTTTGTCTTTATTTATTCTCACACTTGAACAAAATACTTTTTAAACAGTTACCTGATTACTTGTAAAAAATAATCAATAAAAGTAATCGTCAGTTATAAAAATGAATGAAATAGGTCCAGTCCTAATATACAATCAGCTTACTAGAATCTTATTGATTTGTTATATGTTTTACTTTTTCTGACAATCTAGATGTGAATGGTATTGTCTTAAAAGGAGAGACATTTGTACTGATTTACTAAATCTGTTCCAAAGTCTTAAATATAGGTGAACAAGGTTATGAGAAATTGTCTAACGTGTACTGGTCCCAACTTAAAGAAAAACTTTAATGTTCAATGACTTGATTTTATAAAATATTTTGAGCATGGTGACTGATGCATTGGTTGGGTTGTAAGTCATTTGCCTTTAGCTGTTTTTTTTCCCCCCTCTTTTTGTTTTTCCTCCATGAGCCCTGTTGTTTTTATTGTATAATTTTTCCATAACGCATGGTTCTATAGGAATGCACCTGTTGCGTTGGAGCAGAAATGCCTGCACCCCCTATTTGTAATGTCAAACGGGATTATTCCGAGGCTAGGATGCAGTGTTGGAAAGGCTGTGATTCTGCTGATCATGTTTGGCATGTGAGGCAGCCAAGAGGAGGGCTGGGCTCCAAGTACGTGGCTCAAGTGGCTGTAAGCAGAAGCCCAGCTATGCAGCCCTTCATAGGTGACAAACGCAGGACTGAGCCGGGAGACATCGGCATGCTGTTCCCACGCGGCTGTGCTCATGTACAGGTGCTGCTTGCATCCACCGCAGCAAAAGGCGACCTCTGCTGTGCCAAACTGTGTTTCTGTTCTCCTCCCGTCCAGAGCACAGCTAGAGAATGAGAAGAAGAAACGGGAGCATGCAGAGAAAGAAAAGGAGAGAATAGAGCGAGAGAAAGAGGAGCTGATGGAGCGGCTGAGGCAGATAGAGGAGCAGACGATGAAGGCACAGAAAGGTGCTAATCGCTGCTAACCATGCGCGTGTCACCCGCCACACAGCGTAGGCCATGTGGGGATGCTTTTAGTGTGTCGCTGTATGAGTAAGTGCCGTCTCCCAGCTGCTCAGGCATGTGCCCACATCACAAGGGCTCTTAGTTGAAAGTTACTTTGTGCCCCGACCTAATCTTCGATAACTTAATTCCTCTCCTTCATTTTCCAGCATTAATACCCAAAGTCATTCATTGAATGGTCTAGATTTCCATGACTCATAACAGCTGCAACATGCAATGTTGAATATATGCTCTGCATATGCATATGACTTGCATAAAGTCCCTGTGGTTTGTACAGCACCCCACTTTAAAGGATCTTTTTCAGTAAATGTGGAAGTGCCTCTGCCATTGATTGTCCATGTGGCTGGGCGTGGCTTGCTGGGGTGGGCGTGGCTTGTGGGGGCTGACCATGACTGATGGTGCGCATGCTGCCTGGCAGATTTGGAGGAGCAGACGCGCAGGGCCCTGGAGCTGGACCAGGAGAGGAAGAGAGCCCATGAGGAAGCGGAGAGGCTAGAGCGGGAGCGCCAGGCTGCTGAGGAGGCCAAGGCGGCCCTGGCCAAACAAGCGGCAGACCAGCTGAAGAACCAGGAGCAGCTGGTGAGGAGGGGGGAGGGGTGATGGCGGTTGGCAGCGACAGCGTGTCCCAACACCAAACCTAATCTGGTGCTGGAACATTCTTAGCTAGCTAGTGCAATTTGTACTGAGCATGTTAGAGGTAATACTAGGGCCCTTTTAAAACTTGAACCATCGGAGTCTCTGTAATGTTTGCAGGCAGCTGAGTTGGGAGAGTTCACTGCCAAGATTGCTCTGCTGGAGGACTCAAAGAAGAAGAAGGAGGATGAAGCAAACGAGTGGCAGCACAAAGTAAACAGCGGGACACGCTTCTCTGGTCACGAATTCTCACTGTCACAGACGTGCTGCATAAATGTCTGGTGTTGTGATCTCAGCTGTCCTAAAATGTTCTGCTGCAATATTGGTTGCATTTGGGCATCTTGGGTCATTGCACATGTCCTGCAGGCCCTGTCAGCCCAGGAGGACCTGGAGAAGATCAAGGGTGAGCTGAAGAATGTGATGACCGCACGGCCAGCCCCACCCGCCCCTGCTGAGAATGAGCACGACGAGCAGGATGAGAACAGCGCGGAGGCCAGTGCCGAGCTGTCCAGTGACGGGGTCACCGACCACCGAAGCGAGGAGGAGCGCCTCACCGAGGCACAGAAGAATGAGCGCGTCAAGAAGCAGCTGCAGGTACACTTCCTGACCTAGTATTATTCAACTACGTTGAAGCTAAGCTGGCTCTAATGCTGAGATATTACTGAAGGGCCTGATCATCTGTATAAGGTGTGTTAAATTAGGCCTGTGCCTAAACTCTGCTGGATGGTAGATCTCCAGGAGCAGGGCTGGGCAGCCCTGGTATAACTGATTTATGAGTGGCTAGAGTGATCTTGAATATAGTTGCAACACTTTTTGACCAAGATTGACATGGGACTGGTAGAATGTTCTATGTAAATACATGGTCCTGGCGGATCATATGGGTATTTCAGGCACTTGTGTGCTGAATGGTGATGCATTCTCACTGATAAAAGTGAAATGCTTGTTTTCCATCGCACTCCCTCCAGGCTCTGAGCTCCGAGCTGGCCCAGGCTCGCGACGACACCAAGAAGACGCAGAATGACATGCTGCATGCGGAGAATGTTCGTGCTGGCCGGGACAAGTACAAAACCCTCCGACAGATCCGGCAGGGCAACACCAAGCAGCGCATCGATGAGTTTGAGTCTATGTGAGGATCGGTCTGTTCTGCTCACCCAACTTGTCCCCCCCCACCCGCCCCCCCCCCCCATGCACCCACCCAACTTGTCTGCTGAGAGGCTTGAGGTATGCGGCCAACAGCCTGCCCCCTCAGGCCTTGCCAAAGCTCTGACCAGCTCCGGTCAGCCAATCACGCCACTCTCTGCATAGAGCTCTGCCCATCTATATAAGGATTTGCCCTGTTCTAGAGAAAGCAGCATGTCCGAAGGGGGGGGTGATGATAAAGAAATATAATATTTTTGCTTTTATTGAAAATGGCCATTTATAGCTTTTTGATGTTACTAGCAGCCTTGTATGTAAAGCTTTAATATCTTACATCTTGTCTTCAGTTGGAAAAAAATTTAAATCTTTTCTTTTTAAAAGATCTTATTTTCGACTCTTATTTTAATGCTAGTTTCCATCTTGACTGTTCAGTAAGTTTGAGTGGCTGAGTCCTCCAGTGAATGTGAGATGGTATGACCACCAGTGCCAGTGGTAGTGTGTCCCCCCAACCCTCCTCCTCTTTTTCTCACCTGAGAGATTGCATAAGCTTTATCCCAACCAGTTTTGTCTCTTTTGTGATTTGAAGCAGTAATTTTGTCTATGTGTGACTGGGTAAATGAGGTTGCCTGAAGGCTTCTGTTAGCCTGTGTGTGTGTGTGTGTGTGTGTCTCACAGAGGATGCCTGTGTGTGGGTAGGTTAGCTTGACTCAACCTCAGTAATTTCTCAGTGATGCAGCAGCCCTGGGACCAGAATCCCCCCCCTCCCCACATGGACAGTGATGAACCAGGCAGTCATGTAGAGTACAGTCTGTGCACTCTGTGGGCACAGTACTAAACCAAACAGCAGAGAGGTATTTGCCTACTTTATAAGTTAGGCAAAGAGTGCAGAAAGGACTGGTTAGACCCCAAGTACTTGGTCCCACACACATGGGTTTGCTGCCCTGACCTAGTGTTTATGCCCAGTCATCATAGATGGTTTTCTTTGCCTGCCTGCTCACAATGGCCTAGGGGTGGGTGTGTCTGTCTGTCTTTATGCCTCCCTGTTTGTCCATAGGAGGAGAAGCCAGTGTAGTGCACATAACGTGGGTGTAATGACTGTCTCCCTAGTAGCGGCACGCGGGCTCCTCCCCCCGCATAGCCTGTCCACCCTGTGGGGCCCTTCTGCCTGGAGAGCATATGAAAACATCGGTCCTGAGACAAGGACACTTCTCTACCTCATTACAGTTGACTGGGCAGCCAAACGCGTGGTCTGAGCTGCCCCCCACCATCCCACCTTCTGTTTGGAGCAGCTCCTTCTGGTTTCGCCTGCATGGCTCTGCTCCTGGGTCCTGCTTTCTGGCTCTGCTGGGCATAGCTGTCTTTGGGTTGGTTAAAAATAACAAAAGATGATCTTTCAGGCAGTAACTTGAGTTTTAGACATTTTCATTTTTGAAAGCTGAATGAGTTAAAGGAGCAGTTTTACAACTGACATAACAGACCCATTTAGCCTAACAGACAAGCCCAAGTGGGCGACAAACTTTGTATTTTCCTGGAAAATAAATAGTGTTGCAGCCTCTTATTTGCTTTCCTTGAATTATTTACACCACATTCTGTAGACCCTCCCCCCCTGTTAGTGTAAAACAGACCCCAGCTGTGGTTTGCAGCTCCACTTAAGCATAGTAAATTTGAACAGAATCCAGTTATATCACAGACAGCCACTAATTTGGCTCTAGTTTACCTCAAGAAAAAAAAATGTCGGAGTGAGAAATTCTCACCTTGCCCACCTGTTTGGGGACTGTCCATCCCCCAGTTGAAACAATGGAATTTTGATGAATTCACAGATGTCTGCTTGCTCTGGGGACAAAAAATACCCTAAAATATCATTCTAGGAAGAAAAACCTGAACACCTCTTCTAAAAAGACCAAAATCTATAAAAATGGTGGTAATTCAATGAAATTACATTTTTTGGTATAAATGTAAATGTACCTTTGCTACATGTTTAGGGGCCTTGTGGAGCCTTAGATGTCTTTTTGCTCTGGGGTAGAAAAGTACCTAAAATGTCATCTTTTCAATTCTTTTCAATTTAAACTGTAAATGGCTCTCCTAACATGACATAACTGCATAAATGGTTCAAGAAATCCAAATAAAGAGAGAAGCAATTCTTTGAACTGCTGCATCATGCCTTTGTTCCTTTGTATTTTCTTGTATCTTTTTTTTATAAATATTTTCTAAAAGCTGGTTTCCTTCAGACAGAACTGAAATTATACAAATTTAATAAAATGATTTTTTTTTTTTAAATCTAATATAGTTTTCAGTCCGGTTTTAAAAACCATGACTGATGTAGCTGATCTATTGTCCATCTCTGAAATGTCTGTTATGGGGAATTGGTCAGATATTCAGTACAGCCTTGAGGTCTGCAGGCCTATGATACTATAACACCGTCCTTCACTGCGCCTTCAGAAAACACCAAGCAAAAACAGGCACTTTTCATAACAAAGCATGGATCAAAAGTCACAGGGGTCTGGTCACACACAGGTATAAGCATGACTCACCAGGCTGCAGGCTCAGTCCTGCACACAGTGAAAGATGGCTGTGCTACTCAGTGAAATCTGTGTAGAGGCAGAGCACAGAAGATATCACCAGTGAGGAAGAGGATGTGCTTGAACAGCCACCCGAAAGCGAGGACTCTGACTGCACAGACCCGGAGAGTGTCAAGGAGAAATTTCATGGGCCATTACCATTTCCCCAGGGACCAGAGTGGAAGTCTGCAGAGTTCCTTATGAAGATGACACCTAGGCTGACGCATTGTTTTAACTCCCTCCATCGAGGCAATAATATGCACTAACAAAGAAGGGAGTCAGCAGTATGGTGACAGGTGGTGCATGTTAGAAAGCTCAGAACTGCATGCCTACCTCGGATTACAGAATGGTGATTCAAGTCCGGGGGGGAGGCTGTTTGGCAGCCTCTGGAACAAGGAAACATGACCCATTTTTCTGGTCATCAAGCCCAGGGAGAGATTTGAAGCACTAAATGCAAGTATTCGTTTTGACGACTGGGACTCGAGAGCATCACAGCGGGCAACCAACAAGCTGGGCGCATTCCAGGATGTCAGGGATAAGTGACTCCCACTAATGTATAATCCTGGCCCAGACATCACTGTGGATGAAAAGCTGGTGCCATTCAGAGGTAACTAGCATGTATTTTTCATTACAATTAAAATTATATGTGGTTAGTGTAAAAGTTACTGAGATTGTACATTTTTTATAGTTTTATGCAGAAAATAATCTCATATTTAGTATGTTATTTCAGAGGGATTTTGGAGAGCTATTGGTTATATACTATCAAACTGAAAAATTGTAGTACTGGGCAAACTGAAGCATCGCAAGACCAGTGAAGAATGAGGAGACTTGCTTGCTGGGAAAAACACACTGTGTAATTGCAGTTCTTAACGACTATGACAGGCACCCAACCAGCACTGAACCCCAACACAAAAGGGAAGCACAGGGAGGTCAGACGCTATACTGTCAGGTACACACACCATGGGTAATTTACACAATACTAGAGACGCACAAGGATTGTACAGCGTTCACATAAGACACGGACAAACACATGCGTGACAATAGGGAAATACAACTTATCAACCACAAATACAAGGGGCTATTTACAATTACTTGCGGGGTATGCTGGGACATGCACACCCGCCAGCGCTACACTGCTCCCTCCTCAAAGGTCATCTGTCCTGCTGGCAGTTGTCGGTGTGTCCCCTCCCAGCACTGACATGGCTAGCTGCTGGTGGGTGCTGGTGTGTCCGATTCCCCCGGCCACTGACCCTTCTTTTTGCATGGCTTGGGTGGATCTGATCACCCTGCTAGGGGGTGGTCCTGGCCAGGCCACCCCACTCTCAATTACTCCCACAGCCAAGCCCCTTTCTCTGGGGACAAGCAGCACACAGAGCAGCCATGGACAGCTGGCAGTGCACCTTCCTCTTGGCCCCAGCCCTTTTGTCTACCCTGCATAGTGGGGCCCAGATGTTGTGCAGAAGGCTGGTCCTGCCACAGGGCCTCCTGCTCACAGAGTTAGGCAGCCCTGCACTACTACTCCTGCACCGAAACATGGGTAGCCTCCTCTTTCCGCCACTTGTGGAGGTCTGCCATCAGCTGGGTCTCCGGAGTGAGGCATACAGTCTCATGGCCCTGGAATGCTGCCTCGGCCAGACACGCCAGGCGGTTGTACTCCTGCTCCCAGCTGGCCAGGTCGCCGCGCAGCCACTCCAGCTCCACGGACTCCCACAGCCGCTCCCGGTCCTGCTGGTTTCGCTCCCGCTGCTCATCCAGCTCACGGCGCTCTTGAGCTCGCCGGGCCTCCCTCCTCATGCTTGACCCTCTGCCTGCTGCCTCTGCTGCTCGTGCCTGCGGCTGGGATCGCAGCTTGTCACGGATGACCAGTGAGTGGTCAGGGTTCACCGGCATCATCTCCGACAAGAGTCCAGTAGGCTGGCAAGAGGGGCTTCAGGGAGCACTGCACGGCTCTGGTGCATCTCGGATGGAGCCTTCCTCACTCCTGCATCCCCTGCTCGTCTGCCCTGGTGTGGGCTTCTGGGCAGTGGCGTGCCCAATGCCCTTCTCTTCTGCAGCACCAGTGGATGAGCTTCGTGTCCCTCATCGTCCTCCTCAGCATTCCACTGCTTCTGAACCTGCTTGAGGTCTGCCAAAAACCTCATCTACCCCAGGAGCACTAGTGGGATCACTTCTGGAATTCTTCTTCTGATACCAATGTAGTACTGGGCACACAAGGTATCCTGAGACCTGCTAAGAATCGCAGTTCTTAGCAGGACTATGACAGGTACCCAAGGAGCAACAAACCCACTTGTAAGAAGAACATACAAGGAGGTCAGACGTTGGACCACCAGGTACACACACGTTGGGTAATTTACACAACACTAGAGATGCATGAGAATTGTACAGGGTTCACGCAAGACGTGGGCAAACACATGCGCGCTAATAGGGAAATACAACTTATCAAAAACAAATACATATGAGGGGCTATTTTCATATCGGCTATAACACGGCTGTGATTATCTTCATCAGTTTAGAATCGTGTGACTTCCTCATAAAACACTATACATGGGGTTCAACGGCAGTAGATATAGTTTTTGATAATATTCATTGTTACCTGTCGTGCAAATGTGAAGTGAAAGTGATTAGTTGCAATTGTTGACACACCACAGCACACAGTGCACTACAGCAAAATGTGCCCTCTGCATTTAACCCATTGTCATCATGCTGCTTTTCAGAGGGTTACGCAACCTGGGCTGCAAAGAAAACGGAAGTATAATCTAAAAACTTACCTAATTAATCACAAAAAATAAAAATAACAATGAAACTCAATGAAAGCATTCATGAGGCAGTCACCTATTACAACTTGCCCAACAGCAGATAAAGTGATGTTGCCTAGCTGTTCCAGTCTGTGCCCACGTTTTAATTGCTGCTCTAGAAGTCCAGAAACAGGCGGTTGGTATCAGCATTATGATGATGAACAATGTTTCTCATCACATATGCAGATGGACTCAAATTATTAAGAAAATACTTTTTTTTTATTTTTTTTTTTTTATTAATTTTAGCAAAAAACTGCTCCACAACTTGACTGTTCAGCCAACCCTGTAAGTCTGGAACAAGCCTGATCCTCCTTAGAATGTTCTTGGGCTCTTTTGTATTGCCCTCATGAAATTTGTCATAAGGGACATAGTGCTGAGACAATCCAGAGATGGGATGGACATTTTCCTCTGGATTTTCTGCTTTTACTTGCAGCCATGGAAGGGACACCTGCAGTTTTCATTAAATCGGTCGTACACACAGTACTGTCTAACTTATCTGTGGACAGTTTACTACAGAGTTTTACGCGCAAAACACAGTGTAATGTGTTATCAGCTAATATTGCTAATAATAATAATAATAATAATTATCCGGGTTAGAACTGGATTTCATGCTTAGTTGGATTATTTGTCGGATTTAAGGTAGTCCGAGCTAAATGTAAGTGAATGAAGATAAATCCAATTTAAACTGAGGTACCTTAAATCGGACAGGTTGTCTGGCTAAGCAAGAAATCATGCTCTTTGAAACGGGTCCCTGGTACTGTTAAACGGCTTTCCGACTTCTTGTACTAGAATGTGTTTAACTTGTGTGTGACATCATTCCCAGTTCCGACCACCGAGGTAAATGGAACGCAGCGTTAGACTCTGTAAAAAGGCTGGTATCACACACAAGTTTGGAGAAGAAGGTTGAGAATGTTGTGCGTAACATCTGCTTCACTAGAGAACATCATCTGGAAATAAACTCTTTCCTCCCAAAGAAGTACGGGTCTGGTCTAGTTCATTGCTTAAGGCTGAAACAATGGAATCTAACAATGCATAATTATTCCTTAATTATGTTACTCTGGAAAAAAAACATGGCTTATCATTTCCATATTAATGGAGTTCCAAAAATCCTCAACATCGCGTTTACCTTTAGAGTCTTCTGGGGGTGTTTTGTGTCACTCCCTGTAAATGTCACAAATGATCATGCAAATGCATACAGAATATATTTTGAAAAGTTAATGAACATGAAAAGGACTTACCTGCCAAGCTGAAAACACCTTTTCTGTGTAGATCCATTGTTACTGCAATGGGGTGAAACCCACAGTTGATACAGGAATAGTTGTCGTGGGTGTCAGTCAATGCCACAAAGTGACAAATCTTAGATGGTGGCCCGTTAAGTTGCAGTGACCTCTCTAGGTCCAAACCGAGGTCCACGTACCAAGCCCATTCTGAAGCAGATGAAAACCTGGCCCCCATCTCTGCACTTCAGGAGTGCTTTGAGCACACTGACTGGGACATGTTTTGGGAAGCTGGAAGCTGGAAGCTGGAACTCTACCAACCTGGAGGAGAACACGGTGTAAGTGACCGGCTACATCAGAAAGTGCATTGATGACGTTACTGTCTCCAAGACATCATCACATGCCCCAACCAGAAACCATGGATGACTGGAGAGGTACGTTCGCTGCTGAGAACCCGAGACACTGCCTTCAGGTCAGATGACCTAAGGGCCAACCTGGCCTGGGCCATCAGCGTGACAAAGTGTGCACATACTCAAAGAATCCATAGCCACTTCCAAGACAGTGGGGATGTACATTACACA